TTAATTTTTAAATTTTCTTTATATAATTTTTTTTGAGAATAAAATAGACATATCCTTATATTAATAGAAAGATTAATAGAAAGATAAAATAATTACAGAGCAATCTTTACCTTTGGAAGCAACTAGTAGACTATCATTTTCATATGGTAGGAAACAGATAAATCTTTTAAAGTACAATGTCGCCCCCAAAGATAAAAACAAGATAAGGATGATTTGAAAAAATGTGTGAAAACCTAATATTTTCATGTGTTTTGAATGTAAAATCAATTGATAATCTCTTCTATAAAATTTTAAATTTGTGAAACACAAGTAGTATTTTTTTAAAATAAATGTTGTTTTAATCTTTGTTAAATACTCTTAATACTACTATTAAAGTTTTTTAAATACATTCTTAAAAAAAAAAAATTAACCCACCAAATTCTAATCGCCTCCAAATGAAACGGAAATTTACAGCAAATAAATGCGGCAATTACTCCATAGCTACTGTCCCAACTAGGTCAACTCCCAATTTAATGGGACTCTTGTAGTCTGTAAGGTTGAATTGGGACAAATAAAATAAAAGCTGTCACGCAGACGTAAGGTCAGTGCAGTATTGGACTGGGAAAACAAGCCACAGATTGTGCATCCACTTGCCTTTCAAGATTTCACTTCCATTGAATAGTGGTTGGCTTTGTTTTATTCCATATGTATTGGCCAATGGTAAGATTAAAGCATAATTTGTTAAGAGAATGTGGGGGAAAATTTTTTTGGCACTTACTCAATGCATTATAGATGGTTCATAATTTGGAGATCAGTTGGTTGTACGTGGCTTATATTCACTGCGTTATAGATGGTTCATAATCGCCACCCAGTGCCTAGCATTGTAATGTCCCTACCACATTCACTTCCCCTTCCTTAAATGCTACACGTATTTCAATCCCACAATGAATCTTTTCGTCTAATCCTCTTCTTAGACATTTTAAAACTCAAAATCAAGAATTTTAAGTTAAAATCTTAAAATTTTTAATAATTTGAGACATTTTTTTTAAGGCATCTAACAAGCTTTTACAACTTGTTAAAAATTACTTACAATTTAATACCTTATAGAAGACTAAAAGTTTACGAGTATGTTAATTTGAAAAATTAAGGAAAACCATATCATATTTTATATATAACAGAAGATATTAAATTTAATTTTTAATATAAAATCTCAAACGGCTAGAACCTCACTTAAAGACAATTTTTAAAAGTTTTATGCAAAATCAACAGAAGTTATAATTAAATTACACTTATATATTTTTTTACAGTAAAAAACATGATTAATAAATTAATATTTATTTAAAAATTAATTTAAAAATCAATCCAATAATCTTATGTTGTATCTCATTTTACTTTTTATAAAAAAAATGTGACTACTTGAATTACTTGGACGAACATGGGAGGGCAAACTACATTTATACTTAATTGCTCAGTATCTTTGTCATAGTGAATGGTGGAAACTAAAAAATCGAGAATACATTTTTTTTTTTAACAAACATAATGATTAAAAATTAAAAATTAAAAATTAATACTTTATTTTTTAACCAAGTTTGATCATGGATCAAAATGTATTTCATTGATAATTTTTTTAAACTACAATCACCACTAATAAATCAAAACAGAAGAATAATCGAAAATACTAGTATACAAGGAAGAAGAGTAATCAGGTGGAAATGGAACGTAAACGCAAGCTATACCGACCACAAAATTCGATTCAGACTACCATTTACTCCTATTAAATTTTTGGACAGGGTTTGGCGGGGCAGAACCCGTTGCATTAATTGATGACAAGAACCATCCTACATTGACTTGACCCACAGAAAGCCCCACTAGGGCTGTGCTGCTGGTTTACGCAATTGTATGTTACACGAAACGAATTTATTAATTTTATTTAATTTAAATTATTAAAAATAATTAATAATTAATAATTTTTATTTAATAAACTAAAATCAATTTATCAATATATTTTATAAATGTTAGTTTAAAAATTATAAATAAATAAAATATCAATTAAATTATATAATTCTAACAAATTATAGTGCAGCCGCACATGCCCCCCTCTAATTACTAAAACAGAAAGTATTGTGCTCGACCAAATTGTATTATTAAAATTATATTATAGAGAACAGATCCCTTTGCATTGAGTGCTTATTTTTATTTAATAATTTAATATAATTAAAAAAAAAAAAAAAAAAAAAACCTTACTAAATGAATAAAAACTGGCACCACAGGCACAGGAGGAGCCGAGGAGGAGCATTCCAAGCTCAAAAAGAAAGATGGGAGATTTCACACATATAAGATATTGTTTTTAAAATTTTTTTAATTAAATGTATTATTTCTTTAATTGATTAAGATATTTATTTTTTTTAAAAAATTTAATTAAAATATCATTTCTTTAATTTTACTATTTAAAGTTTAATTAAATGTCAACATTGAATTGCCAAACGGACTCGGATACACTAAATTGATGACTAAATTGCTGACATGTCAAAAAAAATTGATAGGTCATTGTTAGCTTAAAGCTGGTTTGGACAGTAAAGCATTAAGTGTCGATAGGTATCGACACGTATTTATCAAATTTCACGCCTCACAGTTACCAAACTCTTAAAGTATGGTATCAACACCACAAAGGGTGGTGTCGGCACCCAACTCGTATCAGAGATTTGGAGGATCCTTTTACCTTGAGTTCTTTTTAACAAAATATGAAAAGAATATAAAATTAATGGAAAAATTATAAACGTGGTGCTGAACTTATAGACGAGTTAAACATAACAAGATCTATTATATAGATTTATTAAAATTAATTTATCTTTTAAATATATTATATGAAATATTTTAAATAAAAAATTTATTTAATGTACCACACTAAATTTTTAACAATTATATTAA